CGCCGATGTTGCTGATTGGCCCAGCAATGCCACATGGAGACGGTGCAAGATCTTATTGGAGCAACTTACTGTCTTTCCTTGCTCTTGGTGGTTGAACAGAGCAGCAGGGAAGCAAAGGAGAGGTAAATATGTGAAGCTGAGTAGGGAGGGCATTAAAGTGAACCTGTTGCTGTGGGCTGTAAAGGGTTAATGTAAATCAAAGAGGTCAAGAAAAGCCCAGGACCGGAACACTCTGTACCATACGGATCAGGTTATGTTGGAGGGTTTGTTACAAATTATTATTAAATAATGATTATTATTCAAAAAGCCCAAGCTGATGCTGGATGCTGAGATCACAAAATTCATTTGACAAGCTGCCTTTGATTTCTGTAGCGGACATGTATGCAAAGTGTTGCCTGTAGGAACCAGTCACCTTCCAATTGTCATTTTTCCCCTGAAAATGAAAAGAACCCTTTCGATTTGATCTGTCTTTTTAAAACATTTTTCATACTTCAGTCTATCATGTCATCAGTCTTTTAGCTGTGACGGTCACAAAATTGATATTAGAGGCAAAAACATCATAGAGCTCTTATTCTGTGAAATACATCTGGAAGAGACATTTTTGGGGTGAGTAAGGCTTACGTTCAAATGATTTGGGAAGTATACACAAAGCTAAAGTGCTTCCAATGGCAGGACAGTTTTTACCTTCTGCATTCCCTGCATTATGGAAAAAAAATGTCCCAGTAATTGTATCGCCCCTTTCCCATACCTCCCTGAATACCTGAATCCTATCTCAATCCAGCGCTGTGCCCATGTGCAGCATTGCTGGTCTGTGCTCCCCTCCTCACAGGACACAACAGAGAGGTAGTCAATGGCTCCTGCTGCTGTCAATCAGATCCTGTGAGGAGAGAGAAGGGGACAGGGTGGAGCTGCGCTGGTTGTGTCTATGGGCACACACAGCCCAGCTCAGGAACGAGTCCACAGGCATGCTCCCGTAGCAAAGTCTTGCTTTGTTGGTAGGCACAGGAGAGGAGGCCAGCAGCAGGGGACCCCAGAAGAGGAGGTTCAGGACCGCTGTGTGCAATACTATATAAGGTAAGTATAACATGCTTATTATTTTAGGAAAAATGCCTTTACAACCGCTGTAAGTTAGATTTAATCTTTCTGCAGAAGGCATTTAATATATGACGCCTCCTCACCACCTTTATTAACTCCTTAAATCGCACACCAGTGTACTATGCATAGTTGCAGGGCACCCCCATTCAGTTTAAGGAATCATATTTGCTGCAGGGGGATGCAAAACATTGTGACCGTGGGGATGGAAAACATTATGACAGTAGGGATGCAAAACATTGTGACCGTGGGGGTGCAAAACATTGTGACCGTGGAGGTGCAAAACATTGTGACCATGGGGATGGAAAACATTATGACCGTGGGGGTGCAAAACATTGAGACCATGGGGTGCAAAACATTGAGACCGTAGGGGTGCAAAACATTGTGACCGTAGGGGTGCAAAACATTGTGACCGTAGGGGTGCAAAACATTGTGACCGTAGGGGTGCAAAACATTGTGACCGTGGGGGTGCAAAACATTGACCGTGGGGGTGCAAAACATTGTGACCGTGGGGGTACAAAACATTGTGACCGTGGGGGTGCCAAACATTGTGACCGTAGGGATGGAAAACATTGTGACCGTGGGGATACAAAACATTGTGACCGTGTATATGGGGGTAAAAATTCATCTCAACTGTGAATTTGGTGCAGGTCAGATTTACTCCTTTAAAAATATCCCCTAGGTAACCAGTAAAGTAAAACTAAACAATATTCCTTTAAAAAAATAATTAATATACATCCACTACTTAATGACCCTGTAATCTATTTTTCATGAAATTGTTACTTGCTGTATTTTTTACCTTTTTGTAACATCCTCTGTGAGCTCCCAAACTTCTCCTTTTCCCACTCACTAACCTTTGTTTGGAAGGAGTTATGCATGTTATTTGCGGTCATGTGCACTGCCACAAATGAAGGTGGCTGCGTTGCTACTTACAGTGAGAGCATGGAGAATGAATGTAGCCACCCTCTAACAGGAAGTTACAGCAGCAAAAAGAAAGAAAAAAGAATTTGACTCCTCCCCTCCACTGACTCGACAATTAAGACACAACAGAGATTATGGTTCGGCCCCGTCCCCTGCTCCTTCCTCACTGGCTGTGGTTGACAGCAGGGAGAGCCAATGAGGATGGAGAAAACTGATAGAACCTCTGGTCTCATTCACATTGCTGGATCGAGCTCAGGTATTAACCAGTTCCGTGCCGCCCTATAGCAGAAATACAGGGCGGCATGGGTGTGCAAAATCACGTATACGTGATTTTGCAGTTCCGGGTAGGGGGCGCGCACGTGCCTCCATTCGCGACCTTGGCTGTCAATCACCGGGTCCAGGCTGGTGATTACTCGCCGGCGCCTGGTGATTGCTGAGTATCTCTGACATGGGAGAGACCTGTGTATAAACAACACAGATCTCTCCCCTGTCAGAACCTGCACACTGCTTTGCATGGCTCTGCATAGCAGACCCATACAAAGCAGTGTGCTTACAGTGAAGAACACACGGTGAAACAGCACACAGTTAACCCTTTGATCGCTTCAGATGTTAACCCCTTCTAGCCCAGTGCCATTAGTACAGTATCAGCGCTTTTTATTAGCAGTGATCACTGTATTGGTGTCACTGACACCAAGTCAGTTCCCCCCAGTGTCAGAATGCCCGCCACAGTCCCGCAGCTAAAAGTCGCTGATCACCGCCATTACTAGTAAAAAAAAAAATACCAGTATATATACCGCCATTTGTATACACTATAACTTTCACATAAACCAATTAATTTACACGTATTGGGATTTTTTTTTAGCAAAGACATTTAAATTTTTTGCTAAATTTATGCACATGTTTAAATAGCAAAAAGTCAAAAACATTGTTATTTTCTCAAAATTGTCAGTCTTTTTTTTGTTTAGAACGCAAAAAATAAAAAAAAAGAAAAAGGTGATCAAATACCACCAAATAAAAGCTCTATTTGTGGGAAAAAAAAAGGACATAAATTGCATTTGGGTGCAGCGTTGCATGACTGCGCAAGTGTCAGTTAAAGTAACACAGCGCCGTATTGCAAAAAATGGCCTGGTCAGGAAGGGGGGTAAATCCTCTGGAGGGCAAGTGGTTAAAAAGGGCAGGAGGGAGCTGCATACTGAAGGTTTTTTACCTTCATGCATATAATGCGTGAAGGTAAAAAAACCTTCATTCAACCTTTAGAACCACATTAAACCGGAACTGGAACTTCACTCTCTCAATCAACATTGACTAATTTGAATCCATATGCTGCTAGCATTAGTAAACAAATAGAAAAGAATATTATATTTAAATGTTTTAAAACTTTTTTTCTAATATATTTCTTCAATTACTTTCTGGTTTCTTTCCTAGGCAAATGGTGTCATACAATCTTCAGGAGGGTAGGAGGGGTTTTCACAGCTAAGCACACCTTCTTATACTGTAAATAAACAAAATGAAACCAGCGCTCAAATCTTCATGCAGACTAGGATAACTGTAACTGCCATTCGTTGAGGTGCAGCCCTTAGAAGATCAGGAAATCTTGGTACTGGTGAACAAAAGCAAAACAGGGCGCACTCAAAGTGACGATAGACCCTTGGTGTGGTAGGAGCAGTGGCGTCCTGAGGCAGGTGCGGGGGGGTGCGGTCCGCTTTGGGTGACAACTTACCACAAAAAGGTAAGTTGTAAAGCAAGCTGATGATCCCTGCAGGACGGATCAGATCCATCCTGCGGGGATCATCGGCTTTCTTTTCAACTTACATTTTCTTGGAGCGGGTCCGGTGTCACCCCGTATAGGTTGCATGCCGACGATCCTGTCGGGATCATCGGGATGTAAAGTTGTAAAGAAAGCCGACGATCCTCGCAGAATGGATCGGATCTGCGGATTGAGCATAATGGATCGGAGTCCGATCCATTATGCTCAATCCGCAGATCCGATCCATTCTGCGGGGATCATCGGAGGGGGTGTCACCGAGTGTTAGCGCACCGGGTGACACCAACTCTAGGGACGCCTCTGGGTAGGAGCCTACCTCACCAAGGGTCTGCCGTCACTTTGGACTGTCATTACGGACTCTTCTTCTCTGTTTTTATCCCCCTTTGGTTTGTGAGTATGCATGTATATGCTTTTAAATAAATTTGTGTTTCACCACGGCAATGGATGAAGAGAAAACACACCTTCTTGCCTGCATGCCTGTGCTATGGGCAGATGGATTCCATAAAGTAAATGTGACATGATTCATCTGCCCTTACTCAAGATGGCCACAGCGAGAAGTGCTATGGAGTGTTTTTCAAAGTGATTTCTCAGCAAAATGAGGCATGGAGACATGGATGGGTGGATGGGAGAGTTTGATCTGAATATTAAAAATGAATTGACTAGCATTTTTGGTGCCCAGATGTAGTGTAGTTCCGCTTTAAGACTCTGTGATAGACCATAGCACAGCATAAGATATATATTTCCCTTTGTTTGTATGTAGTGCATCTGCCACATTTTGATAAACATTAGCAAAATTCTGTAAGTGAAAGACCCAACTGGCATAAGAATTGGCTGCCGTTCAGCGCTGACTGAATTTGCCAACACATACTTGTAAACAGTTGCAGCTCATTATTGAATTCCAGTTGTTACAGTCTTAAGTCTTCCAACTCCGGTTCGCAATTGTTTACTAAATCCCTAGGTTTGCGTTTTTAGAATCGTTGGAAGAAAATAGAAAGAAAAATCTTTAGCTTAGCAAACATTTTATTTTACCACTGGAGGGCAATGTTTTTCTATAGATTTCTTCTTTGTGAAGGGCTAATGGGAACGGTTTTCTGTTGTTTGTATTTTTCCACTTGTAAAAGTTCTTTACTTTCTGTGTTCTTTGGGTCCAATTCACTCTCTGGTCTCCCACCTTACCCTCCATGCTGGTAGGTGTTAACTATGTTCTCATGGTATCTTTCAGCCAAACGTTTAAGAGGTTTGCCAGCAGTGCCAACATCCAACGCACGGAGATTCTGGAATACTGCCAAGGTTTGGGAAAACCCAGCTATTTTGTTCCTTCTTTCCAGGTACCTGCTGCCACTATGCACTTTATTCTGAATGTTGCTCATTATTAATTATTTTCTAACATTTCCTCTGTATCATCCTGTTAAGTTAATGTCCAGTCTCTGTCTTTCCAGTTTATATCCATGTCACCATTTTTCATGGTGTTTGTTTAAAATTGTCGACTAAAAAGGTACAACTTAATTTATTTTGATCATTTATTAGAGGTTCTTATATAGTGCTGTCAATTTATGCAGCGCTTTACATTATTATTATACAGGATTTATATAGCGCCAACAGTTTACAATATAAGGGAGACAGTACAATTACAATACAGTACAATACAGAAGGAATATGAGGGCCCTGCTCGTGGAGCTTACAATCTAAAGGAAGGGGGAGGTGATACAAAAGGTGATAGCTGTGGGGGATGATCTGGTGGAGGTGATTCAAGTACAGTTCTTAGGTGGAGGTGGGGTAGGCTTCCCTGAAGAAGTGAGTTTTCACCTAAAGGCAAACAGGGTGGAGGCTGACCGGACATCCTGTGGTAGGGAGTTCCAGAGGATGGGAGAGGCTCTGGAGAAGTCCTGGAGGCGAGCGTAGGAGGAGGTGATGAGGGAGCTAGAGAGGAGGATATCATGGGAGGAGCGGAGTGGGCGATTTAGGCGATATCTGTGGATGAGGTTGGTGATGTAGCTAGGGGCAGTGCTGTGGATGGCATTGTAAGATGTGGTTAGTATTTTGAATTTTAAACATTGGGTTAGTGGAAGCCAGTGAAGGGATTGGCAGAGAGGGGCAGCAGTCACTGATTGGTTGGTAAGGTGCATGAGTCTGGCAGCAGCATTCATAATAGACTGAAGGGGGGATAGCCTGTATAACGGTAGACCAATGAGGAGAGAGTTGCAGTAATCAAGGCAGGATATAACCAAGGCATGGATAAGTTGCTTTGTGGTGTCATTGGTCAGAAAGGGGCAGATTTTGGAAATGTTCTGGAGGTTGAGGCGGCAGGATTTAGCCAGTGAGTGGATGTGGGGCCCAAAGGAGAGGTCAGAGTCTAGAATTACACCTAGCACCCTGGCATGAGGGGAAGGACCAATGGTTGTGCTGTTGATCTTAATGGTAAAGTCATGAGGGGGGGATCAGGGGGGAGGAAATATTACAAGCTCAGTTTTTGAAAGATTGAGTTTGAGGTAGTGATGTGACATCCATGCTGATATGTCGCTTAGTAGATTTGTGACACGTGAGGAGATTGAGGGGGTGAGCTGGGGAGTGGAGAGATAGATCTGGGTGTCATCAGCATAGAGGTGGTATTGGAAGCCATGGGTGGTTATCAGTTGGCCCAGGGAGGAGGTATAGAGAGAAAAAAGGAGGGGCCCAAGAACAGAACCTTGGGGTACCCCAACAGAAAGAGGAAGTGGAGCGGAGGAAGAGGAGTTGTATGTGACTCTGAAAGTGCTCTGAGAAAGGTAAGAGGAGAACCAGGAGAGAGCAGAGTCACAGAGGCCGATGGAGTTGAGTTCACTGAGGAGAAGCGGGTGGTTGACTGTGTCAAATGCAGCAGAAAGGTCAAGGATTATGAGTATGGAGTAACGGCCGTTGGTCTTAGCAGTTAGTAGTATATATATATATATTGTACTTTCACATCAGTTCCTAACCAGGGGCGGACTGACCATTTGGAAACTCGGGCACTGCCCGAGGGCCCGGAGTCAGTAGGGTGCCCCATGAGATGCCCCTGGTACCTTTTCATAGGCTTTTTTTGAGTTTGGGCAAGGACACAGGGGCCCCATGATCCCCTATTGCCCAGGGGCCCCATGAGCTGTCAGTCCGCCCCTGTTCCTAACCCTCAAGGAGTGTACAATCTAAAGTCCCTAACTCACATTCATACATACACATACTAGGGTTAATTTAGCCTGGATCCAGTTAACCTACCAGCATGTCTTTGGAGTGTGGGAGGAAATCGGAGTACCCGGAGAAAACCATGCAGGTACAGGGAGAACATGCAAACTCCAGGCAGGTGGTGCCGTGGTTGGGATTTGAAAACGACCCTAGTACTGCTAACCATTTAGCCACTGTGCTGCTCATGTAATTGTACAATGTTGCACAATTTCCTTTAGATTTACCAGCTTAAGCCCCGGTTCACACTATTACCTGCATATGAATATCATAGAAACTGCACCATAAAATGAATGGGCTCAAATTGCACCACATCACACCAAAGCCATGCATGCACCAGTTTTGGAAAACGCACTGAAAGCAGATGGCATGGTTGTTGTGTACCACGTGATCCGGTGCAGGCAAACCACACTGTATTTTTTATCCATTTGAGGTGTCGTTAACTTTGTATTGACACCTGCAGTGGATTGCAAACAAAGGGTGATTGCAGTGCGGAGCGGGAAACCAGATCGTGACGTTCCCCGCACCACACATGTGTGCATCGAGGGTAAAACGGAACTTCATCCAAAAGAAGTTCTGCTTTTCCACCTCCTCGCTCCCTCCTGTACCACTTTTGGATGCTATTTTTTTTTTAGGGGGTGGGGGAGGAGAAGGTAATTGGTGGGTACCTGCTCCCACTTCCGCTTGGATCACCTAGGTGATCTGAGCGGACGTTTGCCCCCCAAACCAGCAGCTTTTTGGGAGATGAAAAGTCGCAGGCAGGGGCGGACTGACCATTTGGAAACTCTGGCTTTTTTGAGTTTGGGCAAGGACACAGGGGCCCCATGATCCCCTATTGCCCGGGGGCCCCATGAGTTGTCAGTCCGCCCCTGGTCACAGGTCCCAGAGAGCTGCCGGATTATTCACAAAACACAGCGCGGCTCGTGCATATGCAGTAGGAAGACCACGGTGAAACCTCTAGAAGTCACAGCCAGCTTCCATTAGTAAGAATTTCCTTTATTACATTAGTAAGCATGCCGGCGCTGGGGAAGAAGCGCTTCGGGTGAGGATGGTGCTGGACATCTGGACAGGCAAGTGTCCTTATATTAAAAGTCAGCAGCTACAGTATTTTTAGGTGTTGACTTAAATTTTTTTTAAAGACATTAAAGATCCTCTTTAGGCTGCTTTCACGCTTTTTTGTTGAGTTCTTCAGTTAAAAAAAGTAGAAGAAAAATGCATCCCTTTAAATGGAACTCTTCACAACTGAACAGAAACACATGAAAAGCTGATCAGTGTGAAAGCAGCTTCAAGCTGGGTATACATGTTCAGTTTTCTTTTTTGTTTGTTCAACTACCAAGTTCAACAAAAAAAACTGACAGGTCCCAGCATCAACACAATGATGTGTGATGCAGAGATCTCTCATGCTGAGCCTCCCCATTCCCTCGTCAGTATACACTGATCAGCGATTGCAGCCATTGATCGAATGCTGGTTTTCTAGCAAGACTGTTCGACAGAAGCTGGTCGATAGACTGACCTCTGTTGAAGACTGACCTCTGTTGAATAGAGAGCGGCACACATTTATTGAAAGGCCTCTTTCACACGGGCGTTCCGTATGTCCGTTTTTCATTTGTTCGTTTACACCCATGTATTTCTATAGATTAGTGTATCCGTTAACATCTATTTTTTTGAGCAGGAGAAAACCCTATTTTTCTTCTATTTAAAAAAAAAAAAAAACGGGACAAAAAAAAAAAAACAGATGTAAACAGATGCAAACGGACAAATGATGGATGAAAACAGATGAAAAACAGATGTAAATTGATGAAAAGCGCATGTAAACAGATGAAGAAACTGATGTAAACTGATGAAAAATCGATGTAAACTGAAGAAAAAACTGATGTAAACTGACGAAAAACGGATGTAAACAGATGAAAAACCTGATGTAAAATTATGAATAATGGATGTAAACTGATGAAAAAACTGATGTAAACAGATGAAAAACCTGATGTAAACTGACAAAAACCTGATGTAAACAGATGAAAAAACTGATGTAAAATGATGAATAATGGATGTAAACTGATGAAAAAATTGATGTAAACTGATGAAAAACTGATGTGAACTGATGAATAATGGATGTAAACTGATAAAAAAAACCTGATATAAACTGATGAAATATGGATGTAAACGGATAAAAAACGGATGCAAACTGATGAAAAATGGATGTAAACGGATGAAAAAACAGATGTAAACTGACGAAAAACAAATGTAAACTGACGAAAACAAATGTAAACAGATGAAAAAACTGATGTAAAATGATGAATAATGGATGTATACGGATGAAAAAACTGATGTAAGCGGTTGGAAAAACTGATGTAAGCGGATGAAAAAACTGATGTAAACTGATGAAAAACGGATGTAAACTGATGAAAAACGGATGTAAACTGATGAAAAACGGATGTAAACTGATCCGTTTTTTTCTTTGAAAAAACGTGACTGAACTGATGAAAAAAAACAGAACGCCCGTGTGACAAGTCAGCCAGCTTCTGCTGAACCAGTCGACTTTCAGCATGTGTATAATAGGCTTTAGGTTTAGCAACTGTATAGTGCAAAGCCCTATCTAAACAATCCATTTATTGGCCATTAACAACGTTTTCACACTATATAGTTGTCGGTAAATCTAAGGCTGCACAGACACCTACATATTTCCTAAACGTACAAAAAAAACACACAAATGTGCTGCAAGTTTCACAATTGTTATTGTCATTGTTAATTGCACACCAAGCATGGGTAGCAGATGCATGTTTTGCCATGCGTTGATGCGTTTTGCTTTTTTTTAATTTTTCTCATTGCTAGGCATATTTTCAATGCATAAAAACGCGTCAAAAAAGAGGCAAAAAAGCATTAAAAAAATGCAACAAAAACGCAATACGTGCTTTTCTGCAGAGTCCCCATTGGACTCTATAGAACTAAAAATGCAATGTTTTGCATTCAAAAAAGTCCCTGACCCTTTCCCAAAAAAAGCACTGGGTGAAAATTAGGAGATGTGAGCATGTCCCATAGGAAATCATGTAAAATGAACTGTACTGCGTTTCTGCAAAATGCAAAACGTGGCAGAAACGCTTAGGTGTGAACCTAGGGTAAGTGCAAGGTTTTCTTTAAA